TCACAGTACGGTTTTCAACACGGAGCCTTGGCTCACACCAAACAGTAAGCTATAAAGGGTCCCAAAAAATTACTAGTGTAAAACTATTCAAACAGGAAAACCAACGGTCTAATCTATATAAAAAACGAGAAACGAGAAACACTTATGAAGTTATGAACCACATCAACAAACGACAACTACTGAACATCAGATTCCTATATATACCACATGTACCAAAGCACGGACTTTGCAAGGAACAGCCTGGGATTATGTGTGGGTCTCATTGGGGTCTAAGCGTGACGCGGGATTGCCGATTTTTTGTAAGCGTGACACATGAAAGACAAATTATTGTTCCGTGAAAACGGGAAATGAAGTCTAGCGGGACACGGGAAATTACAAAAAAAAATGAGAATTGCTTACGTACATAGTGTAAGCGGGATACGGGAATCTGACAAAACAGTAAGCGGGATCCGGGATCAGAACCCCCCAATGAGACCCCCTTATTTGTGAGCGCTAACTGACAAGTGTCTTTTAATTTGTTCTTTGCCCTTCTTATATGCATCATGTGCATAGTTGTAGTGATTAAATGTGCAATAGCTAATGATCAAATCTTGTTTCTTTTCAAACCAATTAAATGGTAGTTTAAAAAAATATTGTGCATGTAACATGCATGATGTCAATGTTATTGAAACATTTTGCAGCGACTTTAAATATATGTCATACATTAAAAATAACTTTTAGCATGTTTAGTACAAAAGATTTTTTAAAGATATGAATAATTTATAAATTTCACCACGATTCAACAATTTCATGAATTTTAAACATTAGAGTATTAAAGAATTTTATTAAGATTTTAAAAATGACATAAATATGTTACTGTGTATGACTTTATTACCATGACACTGAATTGATTTTGTAGGAAAGTTGAATTATTGAATATAGTGTTTATAAATTTATAAGCACTTAAATCATGTAAGATAAAGCGCGACTTCAATTTTTAGCACAGTCAAGGACATGCTTGAAATGTCTCATTTTGTCGAGCCTGCGAAATTTATTTGTAAAAGCGAGACATAGCGATCCTTGATTCCGCCGTCATCGGCGGCATCAACATTAAGGTTCAGTCTGTGGTAAAAGGTTTTTGGGACATTAATAACTTTGTAAAACCTACATGGAATTAGATAAAATTTGGACAGAAGCTTGTTTATGACCAAAATACAGTATCCAGAGCAAAATCATGAAAATTAAATTGAAAATATTTATTTTCATTTTTCCGTATTTTATTTACTGATAAATGGACAGTTTATTTACAGTTAACATTCATATTCAGTCTAAGGTTAAACTTTTTCAGTCATCAATAACTTTGTCAAACCTTCATGGAATTTGACGAAATTTGGACAGAAGCTTGTTTATGACCAAAATACAGTATACGTAGTAAGAGCAAAATTTTGAAAATATTTATTTTAAATGGACTTAGTTTTTTTTACATTTAAAAACAAATAGATACTGGGGTTAAAGTTTGTTACACATCAAATACTTTGTCAAACCTTCATAGAATTTAATGAAACTTTTTTATGATTAAGAGATAATGTCTGAAGCACTCTTTTAAAAATATATTTTCATTTTCAGTATTTTTCTGATAGATGGACTTTTTTTACAGTTAACATTTACTGACAGTCTGGGATTAAATTTTTTTGACATGATATTTAGTTTGTTAACCTTCATGGATTGTTATAAAACTTGGACAGAAGCTAATCTTCAAGACAAAGAAATGGTATCTAAAGAGAAAGTTTGAATCTTTTTTAACATTCTGTATTTTACTGATAAATGGACTCACTTTTTAAGTCAACATTACACTTTTACACTGACAGCAGCAATCATAGGCGAGACACAGGGTTCAGAGAACCCCTTACAAATTTTTTATTAAATTATTCAGTCTTCGATATATATATCGATCACGCTTCATGCTCTTTGCTACAAGCCCACCTGGTGAAATTTCAATCTGTAATTTATTTTTCTTGTTTGAATTGTTTAACATTTGACGTTTGTCATGTCGGCGCCTCTTATAGCTTAATTGCTATATTAGTATATATGTGGTATCATCTTCGCTAGCCAAGGGTTACGATCCACTTCCCTCCTCTCCACCCTTGGCAGATTAAGCCAACATTTGTGATAACAATGTTGCACCATCTATCGGTAGATTTAAGTCACGCCCATTCCTAATACATCATTCTTGACCAATTGTAGCACTTGAACTCTTCAATTTGGAGGTAAAAACAAGGTAGCGTCTAGATTCTACACACTTGGTAAAGCAGGAAACGAAAATATACGTTGACATTAATCATGTTAATGCATTTGTGCAAGAAACATACACAGGAACTTCTATTAGTTGATTTAAAACATTCAAATTGTCACTAAATATAGTCGTATGTTTAGGGATGTAAAGACTTGTTGCACAATAAGCACGTGGCAATTGTTTACATACACTTTCTACATTTACATGTGATCATGTTATAGACGCTTTTTGATTGGATTCAGTGAGTTTCGACTGCAACCAATTAAAATCATTACTTTGTGTCTCCGAAATTCTATCTCAATCCGCCAAGGGTGGAGAGGAGGGAAGTGGATTGTAACCCTTGGCTAGCGAAGATGATGTGGTATTGGTTTAGCTCATTGTTAAAGGACTACAGTGACCTACTGTATATGTTCATGTATCTATAGTTGAATACTTATTGTCATTTGGTCTCTGGTGGAGAGTTGTTTTATTCATGTTATTGGCAATCGACTACAACATCTTGTTATTTCCATATGTTTTTATGATCATCAATGATCATGATGATGTAAGAATTTTTTCTACAGTCCAATAGAATCTTTAAAAAAAAATTCCCAAACAGTAGACAGCAAAATACATGTAATATGTTCATGATGTTAAAGTAAAGCTTCATTTCTCAGTGGTCTGCAACACAGATCGATGTTAATTCTGATTTTGATAAATAATAATTTTTTAATGTTAATGTGATTAATCTGACTGGTTTTACAGAAATAGTTAAAATTAATTAAGCTGGTAGTCTTTTTATTTCTAAACAGAACTAGTCATGAGTCATTTTAACTCTACAAGATAATTACAAGAAAGTTTTCCTGAATATGCCATGTATGCTGAAGTAGTACAATATTTAATCAGCTTTAATAGTTAAACATTTTATTTTTATACGACCGCAAAAATTTTTTGCGGTCGTATATTGGTGTCACGTCGTCGTCGTCGTCCGAAAAACAGTTGGTTTCCGGACAGTAACTTTAGTATAAGTGAATAGAAATTCATGAAATTTTAACACAAGGTTTATAACCACAAAAGAAAGGTTGGGATTGATTTTGGGGGTTATGGTCCCAACAGTTTAGGAATAAGGGCCCAAATAAGCATTTTTGTAGTTTCCAGACAATAATTGTGTTTTAGTGTATGAATCTCTCTGAAATTATACCACAAGTTTCCATGCCACTAAGGAATGGTTAGTATTAACTTTGGGGTGTTATGGCTCAAACATTTAAGGAATTAGGGGCAAAAAAGGGGGAAAAACAAGGGTTTCCTGGTTAATGGATAATTAATATAATTTTAAAGCAGTGTAAGGGAGGTAATCCAAATACATTTAAAGAACAATTTTGTGTTTGTTTGAGATTACCTCCCTTACACTGCTTGTAAATTATATATAAAGAAATAATGTATTGTCTCTAGTTGATTAGCTGTCAATTTATCATTAGAAGTTACATGTACTACTAATTAATATCAATTTTAGCTTTGGTTATGTATGTCATTTTCTATTTTAAGACTTTTATGATGTATTTAAATGGGTTATTATGGTTGCAAACTCCATTAAAAATTAGAATGGAGAATATGACCATATCTTGAGGGAAAGATTTTTTTTGGAAAAAAGGGAAAGGGGGGAGGTGAAACAAAATGGGGGCGGGATAAGGCCAATTAAAATTAACTGATAGATTTTCATCCCCGCCCGCCCCTCTGAAATCGTTCCGCCCCAATTTTTTTTATTTTGAAAAATTTACGATTTCCGGATTTTGTTCATTTTCGTTACTGGTAACTGTCGATAATTTCGTTTCATTAATAACATCCTGTTTCAAATTTTGGTTTTTGCATTTCTTTGTATGTTTGATTCGTTATACATGTATATACATGATAGAACCTTATTATTACACTTGCATATATGAAGAACACGTCACAAGAGCGTTTCATATCTAATAAAAAATAAAAAATAAAATCCTCCCACCCACCCCATTTTTTTCAAAAATTTGGATGAAAATCTACTAATTAAATTTACTTGGCCTAATATATAAGATCTATAAGAAATTGTGGGAGGGGACAATTTTTTCTCATTTCAAATTTCAGAAATTAAAAAGAAAATTTCTTCAAATATTTGTTTTTTTTTTTTTAAAAAAGGGCCCGGGGTGGGGGTCAATAGGAAACAGCATAGTGTATTGCACAAAAGCAAAACAAAGTGGGTAAATTTTTTTTTGGGGGGGGGGTGGGGTCAATTCGCAACAGCAAAGTGTATTGGCACTAAAGCAAAAAATTAAATATAAATTCAAAATTATATAACCAATTATAAGTTCTTTGACTACAGTTGTTCTGTGTCAGAAACCTATTATGTGTCAAATATTTCATGTTTTTAATTACAATCCAAATTCAGACATGACTATCAATATTGTGTCCATTTTTGCCCCAACTGTTCAGGGTTGGACCTCTGCGGTCGTATCCAGCTGTGCTCAAAGAAGCAATTTATTCATGTTGTGACAGTGATCCATTGATTTTTTTTGTAGTATACAATCTGATATAGTCATAATCATGATAAAAGTAGTTAAGATATAACAGGTGTATTTCATCTCTCATTATCTGATTATAGGAATTAACAAATGTACATGTATTAAAATATTGTGATTTAAGAGTTTTCAATTAAATATTAAATACATGTACATGCAACATGTGTATAGTGTATAACTGTGGTGTAATTAAATTTCAGATGATCAAGAGAAATGAACATTAACCAGCAAACATTAAGTTCATTGACATGATTGATCTGTGAGAAAATCAACAAAGAAATGATTTAAATGGACAATATTTGAGGTAAAGTTCTTTATGTCATGTATGTATTACATGTGTACTATGACACCTTTTTAGCTCACCTGACCCGAAGGGTCAAGTGAGCTTTTCTCATCACTTGGCGTCCGTCGTCGTCGTTAGCTTTTTACAAAAATCTTCTCCTCTGAAACCACTGGGCCAAATTTAACCAAACTTGGCCACAATCATCATCAGGGTATCTAGTTTAAAAAATGTGTCCGATGACCCCGCCAACCAACCAAGATGGCCACCATGGCTAAAAATAGAACATAGGGGTAAAATGTAGATTTTGGCTTATATCTCTGAAACCAAAGCATTTAGAATAAATCTGACATAGGGTAAAACTGATTATCAGGTCAAGATCTATCTGCCCTGAAATTTTCAGACAAATCTGACAACCTGTTGTTGGGTTGCTGCCCCTGAATTGGTAATTTTAAGGAAATTTTGCAGTTTTTGATTATTATCTTGAATATTATTATAGATAGAGATAAACTGTAAACAACAATAATGTTCAGTAAAGTAAGATCTACAAATAAGTTGTCATGACCAAAATTGTCAGTCGACCCCTTTAGGAGTTATTGCCCTTAATAGTCAATTTTTAACAATTTTCGTAAAATTTTGTAATCTTTTACAAAAATCTTCTTCTCTGAAACTACTGATACAAATTTAACCATACTTGGCCATAATCATTATTAGGGTATCTAGTGTAAAAAATTTGTCTGATGACCCCGCCTTCCAACCATCATGGCCAACTTAGTTAAAAATAGAACATAGGGGTAAAATGCAGTTTTTGGTTTATATCTCTGAAACTAAAGCATTTAGAGCAAATCTGACAAGTGGCAAAAATGTTTATCAGATTTAGAATTATCTGCCCTGAAATTTTCAGACAAATCCAACGACCCGTTGTTGGGTTTCTGCCCCTGAGTTAGTAATTTTACAAAAATTTTGCAGTTTTTTGTTATTATCTTAGATATCATTATAATATCTAATATCTAATACTATTAATTATGATTTTAACCTTATTTTACATGATTTCCAAAGCATCAGTAAATACAGGTGAGCGACACAGGCTCTTGAGAGCCTCTAGTTATTTTCTTCATACAATACAGTGTTTTTTACAAGCTTGTATGTTCTCTTTCCTTTACATATATTTTTTCTAAAATATTTAATGACCTTATACATGTTATGTGCAGTTAGATGTGAAAATCTTCAAAAGAAATATGAAGACATGATATAGTAGATGTACAATCGAGACATTTTTTTCTTTTTATTTGTGATTATCAGATTATTGTACATTTGTGTATTTGACACAAAATTTAATATCATCTGATTCATAATACAGTATTTTTTTTACAAGTGCATTTCCTTTCCTTTAAAATTATTATTTTATTTTAACATTTATGACATTTTTAATAAATGACTTTATGTGCTTAAAACTTCATAATGCTGTCAGAAAGATAAGACACGCATAACAAGTTTTTAAATTGGAGATTACCCATGTTCTCTCTTGTCTTTTGAACATGTCTTTGTTTATTAGAAATTATTAGAACATTTTTGAAAGATATTTATATATGTTCTCCATGAAACAAATATATTTTTGAGCTTACTAGTGACTTGATTGTAAGGTTTTGCATACTATCTTGAAAACTATACTAACTAGACAAGCAGAACCTGTAAACAGCAAACTCCTTAGCTATTTTACATAACAACACTGGTTATGTTCTTCTCATATATTTTATGATGGTATGATACTAAACCCCTAACAGGAGGGATTGTGCTTGATTTTCATATGTTTCATATGATGAAGACATAATCAGTTTAATTGAGGTCTGGAGCTGGCATGTCAGTAACTGCTAGTAGTCCTTTGTTAATTTATGTTGATCATTGTCATTTTGCTTAGTTACTTCTGTTACCTATTCTAACATCGGAATCAGACTTCCTTTGAAATGAGTTTTACTGTATGTATTGCTATGTGTTTGTTTATTCTACATTGGCTAGAGGTATAGGTGGAGGGTTAAGATCTCACAAAACATGTTTAACCCCGCTGCATTTTTGTGCCTATCCCAAGTCAGGAACCTCTGGCCTTTGTTAGTCTTGTATGTCAAAATGTATGTTTTTTTTTATTTTGATTCATCTATATGTTTCAGAGTTTAGTGTGACGTCCATTTTCTCTGAACTAGTATACATTTTTGTTTAGGGGCCAGCTGAAGCCTGCCTCCGGATGCAGGAATTTCTTGCTGTGTTGAAGACCCATTGGTGGCCTTGGGCTGTTTTCTGCTCTTTGGTCAGGTTGTAGTCTCTTTGACACATTCCCCCTTTCCATTCTCAATTTTAACATCTACCAAAACAGACAATATATTGAAACTTTTAATTGAGTCTTCATAATCATGATAATCTTCAATTAGTTCCCTTAAACATGTAGAATGACTCTTTTGAAACCCAAATTTATAGCTATATTTTAGTAATTATCTTTTAAAAACTATAGAAAAAAATAGAAAGAAAATGTAATCAGCAAAAAAATTATCAATATTACATATATCATGTATATATATAAAATCTACAAAAAACTGCAAATATGACTTATCATCAGTTTTGTCTTTTATCTAACAATCTATATACTATACATCATTGCTATATCATGTATATGGGACAGGCATGGGGTAATGCAAATTTGTAATTGTAATGCATGGTAAATTAATGCATTACATTTTTCGAAGTAATTGCATGTAATGTGTAATTCGGCAATTTTACATGTAATTGTAATTTAATGCATTACTTTAGCAAAAAAGTTGTGTAATTTCATGCATTACATTGCATTACATGGCATTACTTTTTCCCTGGTACTATATATATATCTTTTAACAGATTGTTTGATATTTAACAAAAGCAGAATATAAGATTTCTTGATTAACTAAAAAGTTCTCATTTGAATATTGATTTTCTATTTATTTTTCACACTTTACCCACTTGTACCTAATCATAAAGAATGGGATTATCATTCTCTTACTTAGTTTTTTATTTCAAATTATTTCATATATTTTCCTGCATAAAAAGATTGATATTTGAAAAGCATTACTGTAAAAGTGTTCCATTGTTGTCAAAAGATCAGAGAGTGCATTGTCATAATTAAATAACAGACAATTGAACATTGTCATAAAACACTAATTAGTTTGTTTTACAATCAACAACATTTGGTCATAAATTAAGTTCTGTGTTTATTTTATAATTAGGAAAGAATTTCTCAATAAATATTTTGATTGAAATTAAAACAAATACAAACATATGTTTATAAAAGAAAAGTTCACATTAAGTTAAAATGAAGATTAAACTTCATCTCTGTCACTTCTTTTCTGAGAAACACAGATATGTATTATATATATTAAAACTTTAAAATCAAAGATAGAAGAGCAACCAACTCTGATAAGTAGTCCGAAATATCATTGGGATGATCCTATGGAAAAGGAGGCTACAGATGCATTATTTCAGTGTATTGCTGGTGATTTACATCTGTTTGCTACAATTGATAGCCAAAACTTCAAGAACGTTGTAAAACCTTGACCCAAAATTTAACATTCCAAGCAGAAAACATCTCTCGTCTAAACTTATCCATACTAAAGCCAAGGATATGCTAGAATCTTTTGTGATTTCATGTTGTTTTTCAAAATGCTTGATTTTTCTTTTCACTTAATAATAAAATTTAAAAATGTAAGGTGTAATTCAATGCATTACTTTGCAAAAGTAATTGTAATTTAATGCATTACTTTGATAAATACATGTAATTGTAATTTAATGCATGGTTTTGTCAAAGTAATTGTAATGTAATGCATTACATTGCAATGTAATTCGTCCCATGCCTGATATGGGAAGATAATGAACATTAAAAATCATCAGCAATTATGTCATTATGAATACAAGAAACAAAAATACCAAATATGACTGCAACCCCAAATCATTTTATAGAAACTTTTCTATTAAATGATGATTTTTAGTAAAGTTGAAAACAGTGCAGGTATACATAGCTTGAAAACTACAATACATGTAGATTGACAGAAAACCACAAACATCTACAATATCTATCTACAAAAATGGAAATTATACAAAAACAATTGACACCTTATTCTAGTTGTTGACCTTACATAACAATTTTTGTACCAAAAATTAACTTCATTGTGGTTTTTATTGCCCCGCCTCAAAGTGGTCGAGGCCATATAGTTTTACCCTTATCCCTCGTTCCATCATTCCACAACGAACAGTTATACAGATTTTTTTCTTAACACCTTCACATATTGAGCTGATATGTGAGTCTACTATGATGAGTTACAGATTGAGTTTACATTTGGTTCCGCTCTGTTGATTTTTGAGGAAATTACAGGCTTTGGACTTTGAAAATTTCGTGAAAATAACAATTATACAGACTTTTTTTCTAAACGCCTTCACATGTTGAGCTGATTTATAGTATGTGAGTGTACATGTAGTTTGATGAGTTACAGATGGAGTGTACATAAGGTTCTGCTCCCCTGATTTTGCAGAAATTACAGGCTTTGGACTTTGAAAATTTTCATGAAAACAACAATTATAAAGACTTTCATTCTCAAATTTCAACTCCTAAAAATGGCTTCAAGCTTTTTTTGTGAGTGGGGCCATTCGTGTCATTCCAACACATCTAGTTTGTAAAATGTAATATATAAGACAATTTTGAATGAAACAAATGACAAAATACAATGCACCTTTTTTTTTTCTTTTAAAGGTTTTGTCAATTTATCAGTAAAAATAAGAATGAACTGAATCAGTTAACTACTCCATCCAGAAAATAAGTAAAAGTCAAAATTGGTGCCAGTACCTGTAGAATGAAACTACTAGAACCATTTTCTATTGGCCTAAACTTTTAAAAGCTCAATTATGAATATCACAAATGTTACAATTCTAAGCATTAATCAATTAAGATCTGCTCATGAACACATGTTAAAAAAAACCAACATTTGTAGTTTAAAGTTTAAATGTCAAGGTTACATGTAATAAAGTATCTTTGGTGTTCATTTTTGTTGAATTTTCACTAGCACTTTGCACCGGTTAATCCCAGTTTTCATGACAAAACTTATTTTGACGCATACATCTACATCATAATGAATTCCGTGAAATACGTGAAATGGGACATTCTTTTCTGCCACTTAATGTTGAGCTGGAATCAGTGTCATAGAGCTTTCATGTCACACTCAAGATGCGTTAAACAATGCGCATAAACAATAGGCTGTTTAGTCTTTAAGATTATAAGTTATCTGCAGAGATCACTGATTTGAAGCTCAACATGAAGCTAAGTCTTTCTTATTTTTGTTTAAAAGATTTAAATTTTACATTATTAATATACATGTACATGTATATGACATAAGCAACTAAAAATGATTACAACCGAGTTGAAATATATATAGAAGGTTGTAGACATCTGTTACAATCACCTTGAGAAATTGTCAGCAATGATGGAGATTATATGCTGTACAGTGAACTCAGAAATATTGAGACATCTGTTATCTTTGGCAGGTTGTAATGGGTGGTGAGGTGTTAAAAAGACTCAACGGAGGAGAAAACAATTGTCAGTAATTGTCAACATTTGAAAAAGGTTTGTTTTCAATAAGTAAGAAATTAACTGTAATATTTATTTAAGGGGACAAATAAGATAGACAAATGTGTTTCTTGTACCCCAGCTAAATTAGAAATGCTTATTGATGATTTGCAAACTAAGAAGAAATAGGTCATGTAGGTTAGTCATGTTAGTATGGAATTATAAAAAGAAAATGATAAAATATTTTTATACTATTGTATAGTATATGTCATTTGGATTGTTTATAATCTACAAGTTGTGCAAATATTTATGCCCCGCCTAAGCTAGTGGAGGGGCATTAAGTTAAAGTTTACTGGTCAGTGCATCCATCTGTCCCATAAAGGGCTAAAATTTTGGACTTTTGGTTTTGATCAGATCACTCATCAGGATAAAACTTATATTTTAGTACACTTGTTCATTATGTAGTGAACTTTTTTATATATATATTTAAGACTTAAGATTTTACACTTCACTGAGCATGGAAATGTGAAAGTGTGTATCAGGTTAAAATTTTTGTTGAAGGTCAGTTAAAGTTTTGGTTTCAGGTCTATAAAAGTTTTGTTTTAAGGTTGGTCAAAGTTTTTGTTTAGGTCTGTTAAAGTTTTGGTTTATGTTCAGTTAAAGTTATGGTTTAAGGTCAGTTAAAGTTTTGGTTTAAAGTTGGCTAAAGTTGCAGTTAACATGGTTAAGGGTCAATTAAAGTTTTGGCATAATGACTGTTAAAGTTTTGGTTGAAGGTTGTTTAAAATTTTGGATTAAGTTGTTTAATGACCACATCTACATGAAACTTAGTACACATGTTCAGTGTAGAGTGAACTGTGTAAAATATATGCAAAAATAGGGTTTAACCCAGATTTTTGAATTCACTAAAATTGAAATGTGATAGTCAGTGATAGTATGAACAGGGGCAATGACCTACATAGCCAGAAATTAGTAGTACTTTTGCTAATTAATATTCATAATATGAAAATGAGAATTGTACCACGTGATAATAGTTTGAACTGGACTGGCCTTTAAAACACGGATAATAGTTTGAACTGGACTGGCCTTTAAATCACGGATATTATAATTTGCCCATCACAGAGTCCTTGTTTATAATCACTCTGATATTTCGGTAAAGTTGTCAGGCGGTCAAAATCAAAACAATGAACGAGGATTTAGTGAATTTTTTGTGTTTTCGTGAGTTTATTCTTCTTGAAATAGGGGCATTTTAACTTTACGTGGGAACCTAGAGTTCAAGGACTACACATACAAGGTTTGGACTTGCTTATTCTTTGGACATTCAAGTTTCAAGTTTCATCCGGCAACCTGTTTTTGTAATGACCTTGTTTGCCAATTTTCAACACGAAGTTTGCAAATTTGACGTTTCAGCCATTTTAGCCTGTATTTTATACTGCAATGTTAGAAGCCTCTTGCTTCGATTTTTAAAATAGCTCAGGAACCTTGATTTTTGCAACGACAGTCATTATGTTTCGTTTAAATGGTGTATATTGTTGTGTATATTTATTTGCTGTCCCCGCAACCTGTCTATCACTGAAATTAAAGTTAAAACAGACATTTTTTTTCAAAATTCCCTATCATTTCAATATAATTTCCGTGACCCGTATCTGAATTTTTAGTATAATATTCAAATAGGCAAAGTGGCGTTGATTTCTGGATATGAGCTAGCTATGTAGATATATTATTGTTAAAGTATCATTATGATAATCAGGATAATGGACAAAAAACTGTGAAGTGGAAATAAATGAATTTGTATACTTTTGAAAATATTACAATTAATACAACTGCAGAGACAAAACAACCACTCTTATAATTCACGTCCCTATAGAAATAAGGAGATGTGGTACAGTTGCCAATTAGAAAACATAACTGTGGATTCCTTTTTATCGTTGGATATCAATTTTCGTCGATTTCCTGGATATAGATTGATTGATTGTTGGTTGTTTAACGTCCAGTGGCAAATATCCTGGATATAGATGAACCACAAATTTGAATGTTCAACTAAGTACAAATTTTTTTTGGCCTGTATGTAGACTGTTGGCAAAACCACAAAATTGAATATCCATGAAACTACATTTTTTAATTAATCCACGAAAATTGGTATTCACGAAAATAAATGAATCAGGAGTATCCACATGGTTTAAATGATTTGGACGTAAGCAATCATACTGCCTTCAATGACGGTTAAACTCATACTGTATAGTCAGCTATAAAAGGCCTAGACTTGACAGAATTGTTCTTGAGTATGAGCAAAAGTTTGCAGAACAAAATCATTTAAAGCTGGAGGAATCCTTAATTTTTTTGAAATTGAACACCATTAATAAAGGCAATATATATAGTAGTATTTCAAAAGTCAATAGTTCAATAGTCATAAAATGATTTAACTGAAACAAATCCTGGGCATAAACCAAAACCAAGGGAAACACATCAACTATAAGAGGAAACAAAACGGAACAACAGTCAGGTGAATTACTGAAATAAGTGATTTATAAATCACTCATTTAAGTAGCAAATCAGAAATTCTGTGATTTTGTAGTTTTACCAAAATTTTAAACATACAGGTTTAGATTATATCTAATTATTAGTAAAATTGAAAAAAAAGAACCTTTTGCTTCTTTAAGTAGCAAGGTTCATGCCTTTGATGCAATCATTCATCTGTAAATTCTATATTTGTTGAAAAAATGCTATAATGAAGGCTTTACATAATGAACTAATATTTTCTTAACAGATTTTTCCCAGCAGTGGGAGTATTTTTCCTGTAAAATTCAAGGTTTCATCTTACAGATTATGTAATAAAATTTTACTGTTCGCGACCAAAATTTTACTGTTCGGGGGGGTTGAAATTAGTGGGGGTAATTGAAATAATAATACTTAAAGAGGTGATTTTTTTGGAAGAAAATAGAGGTATAATACTTAAACAAGTGATTTTCATGTCATTATCCCAGATTCAGTACAAGGTCATCACCTGACATGACTGGTCATCCTATAAACACAGATGTTGGTTCTGATAATTTTAGCAACATAATTAGTCCCTGGATCATTAATATTATATATTTAAAGCTACAATAAAATTAAATCACTTAGTCTAGTGATTTATTTGTACTACTTAAATAGGTGATTATTAAAGAAAGACAACTCTTACTTCCAACATTTCTGGAAAAATGTTACTTGAAATAGTGATTAAAGAAATCACTCATTTAAGTAATTCCCCTGACTGAACAACAGAAACACTGAACTGCTACAAAAACAAACGCAAACATACTTAGACAAGGACTATGTGATAACAACTGCCATATTCCTGACTTGGATAAGGACATTTTAAGAAAAAATGGTGGGTTGAACCTGGTTTTATGGCTAGCCAAACCTCCCGCTTATATGGCTATGTTAAAAATACTGCTAAAATGACAACATTACATGACAGGAATACAGTACAAATAAATTCAAGAACATTCAGGACAGAGAACAACATAAATAAATAATATAATAGTCCATTTCAACATGTAAACCACAGAATAACAACGAACACCTAAAATTAATTTACGACAGAACACAAATACAGCACAATAGAATAATGAACTGTGCGTCACACTAATGCATGCATGCTAAGTATCTGACAGTGGTCTTTTTAAGGTTTAGAAAAATATTTTAATGTGGTACTTTGAGTTTGATTATATCATGTATATAGGTGTACTGTATTGTGTTATAGATTGATCATTATGCTTTTTGTCAACTTAGGCAGAAAAAGGCTATATCCCAACAAAAACCGGTAATAAGTTTTTAAATATACATTAATTCTTCCTTGCATAGTATGTAAGTAATTTTTGTGTTCAAATCTGTACTCCTACCAGCATTTTGTGATTTTTTCATAGTTTTTGAAACCTAAAAAGGGTACCAAATAATGTTAAATGAATTTATAATCTAAAGAGCATATTTCTGTCAAATTTTTAATGGCTTGTATCTCAAAAACATGGACACAAACCTTTAATTTTTGTCTTGCCTGCGACTAAAGTTGCGGAAAGCAAGACAAAGGGATTGATTTATTAGAGACGGCTGCAGCAGTGGCGTCAACAATTGTTAAGTTTACTGTTTAAGTAATTTTGATAGGTACTACTTGTGATAGATCATTGATATTTTATATAAAGTTGCATTACTATCAGTACATATCAGTTTGACAACTATTTCGAGGCTCTGACCCCTAGGTCATGGTCCAGCAACTTTGAATTAACTAGCTATTTTCAATGTTTCTGCTGAGTATAAGTTAGTTTGATAGGAACTACTTGTGATAGCTAGGTCATTGATTTTTTTTTATGAAGTTGCATTATTTCAGTACATATCAGTTTGATGACTATTTTGAGGCCTTGCCCCCTAAGTAATTGTCCAGTGACTTTGAATTTATGAGCAATTTTCAATGTTAAGTTTTCTGCTAAAGCTAGTTTGATAGGATCTACTTGTGATAGATCATTGATGTTTTGTATGAAGTTGCATTACTATCAGTACATATCTGTTTGATGACTATTTTGAGGCCCTGCCCCCTAGGTCGTAGTCCAGTGACTTTGAATTAATTAGCAATTTTCAATGTAAAGTTTTCTGCTTAAGTGATTTTGATAAGAACTACTTGTAACAGATCAATGATATTTTGTATAAAGTTGCATTACTATCAGTACATATCAGTTTCTAGGCCCTGCCCACAAGATCATGGTCCAGTGACTTTGAATTAATAATCAATGTTGCTGTCCATTAGATTGTCTTTTCCTGAATTCTATGTGGACAGGCGAGACATATCTCTGTGTTAACAGTTTGTTGTTCTGTTTTATTTCCATTATCTATATACTATCAATTTATAGCAGTCTTTTAAAAAGCTTGTTATTTTAAAGTTGAGTAGCTAACATCCTTAAGAAGAGACAAATCAAGGTTAAATACCAAAAAGTGAGGGAATCGCATGAATTCCTAAAAAAAAACAATATTGGGTACATGTCAACAGGATAAACTAGTATTTCAGTAATTTATTACAGGGCAGCATTATAATTATTGTCCATTTGACATCTATATATTTGCAGAAAAAAATTCTTAAAAATCCATATTTTCAAATTTAAATTTTGTTCCTTGATCATGTTGATGTATGTTAATATATGATATATATACGAACTCTGACTATTAATTTCATAAATTTTGCTTTATGATTAAAAAAGTTTCTCATGAGGTCTCTATATTTAATGAATGGCTATTATTTATTTTGAATTTATTGAACCATAAAATTAATTTTTGACTCTTCACATTGAATAATTCGCGAAGTGGATTATGTAAAATGTGAAGAGTCAAAAATTAATTTTATGGTTCAATAAATTCAAAATAAATAATAGCCATACATTATAAATAAATTTCTATCAAAAATAACGCTCAAAGAGCTTTTTATATTATTTTTATTAACAATAACAACGTACACACATGTTGGCGTATGAATATACAACGTCAGAGTGGGCGTGTCGCCATAAAAATTGACAACATTGAAAATAAAGGTAAGACTTTTAACCAATCAGAAGACAGTAAATACACCAAATTTATTTATATTAATTTAATTTTTTGAAGTGTTGATGACCTGATGGAGTAAGTATAGATAGTGTAACAGCCTTCCAATCAAAACAAAAACAACATACATGTGCTTTAAGTGTTTGTTTCTTTGTATCATGTGACTTTACCTATCTTAATATTAAAGGACATCAATGAAAATCATCATCACTTTATTGTTTTGATTATTGATTTTATATCATTTCACAAGTAAACTTACTTATATTCATAGATGATTTTGGAAATGAAACAATGTGAAAGTTATTATTACTAGATCTTTTTTATTTCATTTTTTTATTCCTTATAAACGTTTTTTTTTAATATTGTCTTTGATTGAATGAATATTTCTATAACTTACAAAGGACTATAAGCGAGCTTTTCATGCTTTAATCATGGTGAGTTTCATAACAAGACAAAGAGGTTCTGAAAAGTTTATAAAAAAAAAACAGAATAAAATTAATATACATTTAGTTATTTATTTATTTGCAAAATGCACATCTTGGTAGCAAACAATTCAGGAAAATTATAAAAAATTTGATGTGAGTAATGTTTTTTTATACGCCTGTCAATTTTTGACAGGACGTATTATGGTATACAAATGTCCGGTGTCCGTCTGTCTGTCCGGCGTAAACATGTCGCACCGTAACTTGAGAAAGACTTATCCAAATTTCATGAAACTTAACATAGTTGTTTCTTATGATGGTCAAACAATCTGTATACTTTTTGGTGGAAATAAGATTAAAACTTTTTGAGTTATGGGACTTAGTAACTAAAACAGGTGTGTGTTTTTTTTCACATGTCGCGTCGTATCTCAAAAAACAATTTATGATTATTGCTTAAAACTTTACACACTTCTTAGTTATATTAACCTTAAGATCTGTATACTTTTTTGTGATGATTCAAAATTTTATTTTTGAGTAATTGAGTATTTCGTAAAAAAAGGGGAGGGGTTTTTCAGATGTCATGCCGTATCTCAAAAAAGATTTATGATTATTGCTTAAAATTTTACACACTTCTTAGTTATATTAATTTAAAGATCTGTATACTTTTTGGTTTTGATTCAAAATTTTATTTTTGAGATATTGATTTTTTTTTTTAAAAGGGGGGTTTTCACATGTCGCGCCGTATCTCAAAAAAGATTTATGATTATTGCTTAAAATTTTACACACTTCTTAGTTATATTAATCTAAAGATCTGTATACTTTTTGGTTTTGATTCAAATTTTATTTTAGAGATATTGAGTTTTTTGTAAAAAAAAAGGGGGGGTTTTCGCATGTCATGCCGTATGTCAGAAACTATTTATGCTTATTGCATAAAAATTCACAAACAAGACGACGGGCGTATCATGCGCTCATGGCGCAGCTGTTTATTTTCCTTGCCCTAAACTTAAACATAAAAAGTGGAAAAATCCTGTTATAAGTCATGTCTACTAACATAACAAATGAAGGTATACATATTAAAGAAAATAATATATATTCATTTTAGGAAAATTCAAAACGGAAAGTCCCTTATCAAATGGCAAAATCAAAAGCTCAAACACATCAAACAAATGGAAAACAACTGTCATATTCCTGACTTGGTACAGGCATAAAGTACTGTTTACTTGTTTATACTATATCTAATATTTTCTAAATAGGAAATGGACAATGCAGAATCCCATCATATATAGAACAATTAAGACATGAAATCTAATTTTGTTTGAAGGTCAGTTAAGGTCATCTTAATATGTAAATATACAAAGTCACATGGTACACAGAAACAAACATTCAAAGCACATGTATGTTGTTTTTGTTTTGATTGGAAGGCTGTTACACTATTCATACTTACTCCATCAGGTAATCAACACTTCAAAAAATTAAATTAACATGGAGACCTAAAGGGAAACTTTTTTAATTATACACCCAAAATTATGAAATTAATAGTCAGAGTTTGTATATCATGTATATATCATATATAAACAACAGAACACATTATTAATTTGAAAAAATGTATTTTTAAGAATTTTTTTCTGCAAATATATATATCAAATGGACAATATACCTATTCTTAGCGAAGTAAGTTTTTCTCAAAAATCTGTTTATACAAGTTTGAAAGTCCCATTGATTTGACAACACATATTTCATATCCTAGAATGATTGATATCTACATTGTTTTTTTGTAGGAGCAACAAAATTAGTAGCAAGTTTCAAAAATGGATAAGCCATACGGTTGCCACTTGTGTTACATTGGATTTACCAAGCCCAATGAACTGAAAAGTCATCTTGACAGTCACAAAAATCAGCCTATTGAATTCAGATTCAGATGTGATCAGTGTCCAGCTGCATTTATTAATAAACAGTATCTTATCCTTCATCAGGCCAGTGCACACACTGAACAGGACATCTCACAAGGAGAACAAACAATAAGTTCCGAAGAGGAAAAAGCTTATAAATGTGATCAATGTGATAAAAGTTTTATAAGGGTAGGTAATTTTAGAACACATATGCATTGGCATGAAAATGGAGAAGACCACTTCGAATGTAATCTTTGCAATAGGAAATTCCTTAATCGGGAAAATCTCCTTATACATGAGCGAGTTCATTCAGGAAATACTCCATATCAGTGTGGATTTTGTTCCAAAAGTTATTCAACTATAAAAAATCTACGTATACATCAAAATAGAATGCACAAAAACAGTAAAAAACATGCTTGTGATCACTGTTCCCAGACTTTTGTTTCAATGGTTAAACTAAATCAACACAGAATGACACATTTTGATAAACCTGCTGATACAGATGAGTTGTTAGGCGATATTTTCAAAAAATATTCAGAGCAAGTAGATATAAAATCTGAACAGTATGCTTGTAATATCTGCAACAAGAAGTTTCAACATAAAGGTTGGTTAGAAAATCACAAGAAATTACATGAACCAACAAGTCTTCTGTGTAATATTTGTGACAGATTGTTTGAAAATGCTTCTGATCTTAAACAGCATGAAATAGAGGACCATGTTACACACAGAAACACACCAGAACTTTCTGATGGAATGCATAATGAGCAACCATACAAGTGTGACATTTGCAACAAAGAATTCATTCGAAAGCCACTTTTAGATGCTCACTTATTGCAACATAAGCGCCAAAAGCCTTTTGGGTGTAACTTTTGCCCTGGAGCCTTTCAATTTGCTAATGAATTACGAATGCACTTGAGGACTCACAAGCATCCCAGGCCATTTTCTTGTAAGCTTTGCCATGCAAGGTTTGCACAGCATAACCAATTAAAAATTCACATCAGACATATGCATACTGGTTTGAGTGGGAATCAGCTGACAAGGTCACCTTCGACAGAAGATACATCAACAGAAGAAAATGAATCAGATGCTGTAACGGTCTCTGAAGCTGATTCTGAAACAGATATTTACGTACTTGCCAGCTCTGATGAACAGAACATTTCTACAGAGGATGAAGATACGGACAATGAAGCAGTCAAACATTTTCATCCAATGTCAAAAAGTTGGCAAAGAGAAACTGATGAAATGAATAAAGCATCAGTTACTTCCAAAAAAGGTCCAGTTTCATTTTTGCTTTTTGGAAAGCTGGAGGGTTTTAATCAGAGAAAATCTTTACTTGAAAATACACAAAGGTTGGAAGGAACAAATCCCAAAATTTCAACTCAGCCAGATTGCAGTCTGAATCAATACGACAAATTTGAAGAACATTTCGAACTATGGGAAAATGGAGTGAGTAGTAATATCAGGTCATTTCAAAATCCTCTGAATTCTATAAACCAGCCATCACATAGTAGTTTTAATCCATCAGGTGTTAGTGAATATGGGAGATTGAATCATGTTGGTGATCAAATGATAGATTTGCCGAAATTGTCTAATTATGCTGGAACTGATAATTTGCTATCTTGGCCATCACCACAACATATAACATTGTTTGAAAACATTGATATAAGTGAATTTTCTGACGATAGTCATGTACATGATGAAACTGAATCAAAACCTAGAAAAAGGAGACACTCTGGGCGTAGTATTATGTCTTCTGGAAGTCATGTTAGTTTGAGAGCTATAAATCAAGATAAAAGTATTGACATAACCAAAGAAGAGAATTTGAGTTATGATTTAATCAAGCTTGACCACACTAAAAATTCGAACACACCTAACATTTACCACAACAGTATTTTTAATAGACAGGATATCACGCCTAACGTTAATTCTGCAAAAGAAGAGGATGCAAAAAACAATGTTTCACATTATAGTCTATTGTCAGAGATTGATAAGCAGGCCACTAATGGCAAATTTAAGGATGATAATATTGGAAATAATCTTTCTTTTTCATCTAGGATGAACTACATTGGAAACAGTAAAGGTAAAAATCAGAATCTTAAAATTTGTGGTATGAATCCAAATGAGAATCTCATGGGACAATTTACTGTAAAGGGGTCAAGTCTACTTCATGAAAGTAAAACTGATAAAGAAAGAAAAATTGGACAAAACATTTCAGAAAACTTATTAGAAAAATATTTCTCTGGCAAAACTGAAATCTGTAAGCAATTTCGACCCAAACTTCAATCATATGCTAGTGTCTCTCCAAAGTCTACTTACAGCTCAGCTTATCCTGGTAACATTCAAGAAGATGACAAACAAAGCCCATTTAAGTCCTTCATTCAATCTTACAAAAAAAGGATCTTTCAAAAGTCAGGCACCAAGAAAAAGATTAGAAATGGTCATGAAAATACAAAACGATATGACAGTGAGGATGAAATAAGTTTTTCTATGCCAGACATTGTGAAGAAAGGATATTTTACTCAAAGTGTTCATAAAAAAACTAAAGAGTCTGACAGTGAAGTTGAAATTAGTTTTAAGAGGCCAAACATTAAAATAACTATTAAGTCACCAAAGGCAACACGTGAATACAGTGAGAATGTTGATTCTAGTGATAATGAAATTAGTTTTAGGAAGAAGAAAAAGCAAAAAGATGGTGTTTTCATTAAAGCCGATCAGAATGTATCATTTTTTATTGCCAAACCAATGTTGGGATATTGCAGTTCTGTTGATGAATGTAGTAGTGTAGATAATGACCTGGCTGATCAGACAACCATTGAAGATTGCAGTAGTATAGATAGTGATGACCATAAATCATTGAGTAGCCATGGCAGTTATCTTGCTGATGACAGCACGGTTCCTGGAGATGATGCTACACCTGAGAGGACACTTTCAGAAAATAGTAGCTCATCAGACCTAGAAAGCAATTCAACCCAGGATTATGTATCAGGTGTATGGGACCTTGATTATAAAGAGGAAAATTCAAGTGTTGAAAATACCCTGCAAGGAGCTAGTTTTATGTATAGTCCTATAAGCGGTAAATCTGATGATGGAAGCATTTTAGATGATGACAATTTGATGACAGATAACTGTTCTAGTTTAGAAAGTGATATAGAAATTGACATTCCACATCAAAAGTTACATTCTAAAAGATGCATGAAGAAGAAAAATATTTGGTTGAAAAGGAACTTTAAATTTGAGATCAGCAAAATTGACAACAAACCTTTTATATCAAATGCTTTCTATCAAAAGGATTCAGTTGATGAAACTAGAGCACTTCAATCAGCTGTCTCGAAAATTCGAAAAAAATATGGTGAAAATAATTCTGTATTGGAAGAAAAGGTTGCCAGTATTAGAGAAATGGTAAAAAATAGGTATTTCAAGATGAAAAAGAAATCAAGTGATGGCAGTAGTAGAGATAATAGCACTAAGAAAAAATCTCCTGCCAAGACATTCCCAACTAAAGTCTATGAACGTTTAAACATGAATCGAATAAGTATGAAGAATGAATCTCAGTTGTTAAATGAAAGAAGCAGAGAGAAAAACTATTCTTTTAATGAAACCCTTTCTCCAAAACTAGATATAAAACATAGTATTAAAGAACCGTCAATTAGGGCATTTCAGCCTTTAGTCAAGAAAAAGATAAGCAATAGAGATTCTCCAATTGCTGCAGTAGGACAAATTCCCATTATTAGGAGTCCTAGATACAAAACCAGATATGCGGAGTTAAAAATAGCAAAGAAAAGAATAAAAAAAATTTCAGATGTTGATACATTTGAGGACACATCACAATCTCAAGACTTCTCTATTTTGAGTCCATCCGATACTCTTGACAATTTTGTATGTAGACAAGGACTTTGTAATCATTCAACTCTGAACATTCCTGAAGATACTCAAAGTGTTAAAGGGTCTTCTATAAAAAGTCCACTTTATATAAAGAGTCCAAGGTATCCGACAAGATATGCATCACAAAGACTAGCTAAAAAAAGAATGGGGAGTGAAGGAGGCAAGACCTCCATAAGATCACTGAAGTCTCCAGGTGCATTTAGAATTACAAGTCCAATACATAACACTCAGTATGCCTCATTAGGGCCATTCTTTAATTTAAAAAGTCCAGTATATAAGACAAGATATGCAACTCGCCGAATTGCACAGAAAAGAATAGCGATTGAATCAGGAAAATTTACTGATTTCAACACAAGTCAGCTTCCAAAAGGAATTGTTTATGGACCAACACCAACATCAGTAGGATCTCTTCAAACAAAGAAAAGAAAACTATCAACAGAGAATGAAGATCTATCAATTGTTACAAGAAACATCAAAAGTAAGTCACAATCAACACTTAAAAGAAGAAGTAGACCAAGGAAAAAAGATGAAGCTGCATGTCGTAGGAAAGCGCCAAAACAAAAAGGTCAAGTTCAACCTAGAAAACGAAATCAGTTTACTACAGAATGTGAAATGGTCTGTCGAAGCAAACGTCCTATTAACAAAGTGGCAAAACAAAACATCATATCACAAAGTAATTTTGAAGCATGCAATAAACTTGAGAAGCTTAATGTTCAAGATGTAGATGCCACAATACCAAAAACCCGAAGTGGCAGACCTGTAAAATCTCCCGACCGATATAGAACTATTTTTGTAAGTGAATGTACTGTAAAATTAAGAAGGGTTCCACCACAAAAGTATACCCCATTTCAAGATATAAAAGAGAAAGAAAAGAAAAAGAGCAAAAGTAGGAAAACCAGAAACAAGTCAATAAAAAAAACACAGAAAGATTTATTCAGCAAATTGGAAAATATAAATAAAAGTATATATAAAGACAATAACATTAAAATAAGTGACCCTGGTTTAAATAAAAACAAAACAATTACAAGAGGCATGGACAGATATGAAATAAGAAACAAAAGTTCTGATAATATTGACAACGAACAAATAATTGAAACTCTAAACCAATCGGAGGGGGAATATTTTGGAATTGATCTAGAGGAGACAAGTATGAATAAGGATAGAGAACCTAAAAATATCACAAAATTGTCAAGAGGAAGGGAAATACAAGTTAACAACGCTGAGCATAGCATTAAAGAATTCGAAGATGTAACTACATTAAGAAGGGACAACAACATGAACAAGGAAAAACAAACGTTAAACTTTGAAATTATTGGTATTGAAGAGGCAGAAACAATACTAGCCAATCAAATTCGAAAACAGAAAGATGGAGGTCAAAGGGTCAATGTTGAAAGTATTTGCAAGAAAATCAAGAATAAGAAACACTTGAAAGCAGTTGCTAGAACTAATGAAGGTAACATAAGTAAACAACAAAATCTCAGAAAAACAGAAAGAAAGATAGATTCACTTAATGGAAATGAAATCCCAGTTTATAAGGGGGAAAATAATAAAATTAGCTTTCCAAACCTAAAAAACAAAACATTTTCTTCCAAAAGAAAGAGAAATAAACTTGGAAAAAAATGTACAAACCAGTTGATAGATAAGAAAAAAAGACTTGATAAAAATTATTCTTTGAGAAACAAGAGACGAGATAGTCATGACACATGTAGCATGGGTAGTATAACAGTCTACGAAGGTGTTGATTTAGACAAATATATTGGCAATGAATCTTCAGATTCTCAGGAAAATTTTACTAGAAAAGAAGATTGTGATATAAACATGTCTGATTTGAAATTGTTTGGAAGAAATTTAGACATTACAGGGAAGACAAAAACTGAGGAAAGAAATAAATATGAAAAACTTAAAACAAGTTCACAACAGGAAACATCAACTAGACCGTCGTCATGTAGAGAATTCAATGAAAACACAAAACAATTGATGAACAGACAACAGAGTGATAAAATCTGCGAATTAGAACAAGTTCTACCATACAGAATACAAGGATATAAGGCTGCTGTGTCAGAATTTGTGATACCAACTGTCGAAAATACTAGATCCAAATGTAAGGAACGTGAGAAGTTAATGAACGAACTACAAATGACATGTGATAATAAAAGACATGCAAGAGAGGACTTGAAAACAACTGTTGAAAACTCAGCAAGAAACATAGATTCAAATAGAATTGGAAGCATAAAACTGAATTCAGATGTAGGTCAAAAAGAAAAGAATACGGAAAGTGCTTTTCATTCAAAGAATTATGAAAATACTATTGACAAGGAAGCTGACAAAAATGAAGTTGTGAAACCATGTATCATACAGAAGTTGAAAGAAAAAATGGGTTCAATTGTAGCCGATTTGATGAATGATAGTATGAAGAAGAATCAAACAAAGAAAACATCAATACACAAGGAACCAGTTTATAAGAAAAACATTTCTGACAACATGGACAAAGCCGCCTATGTTCAGTTGCACAAACTTGATAGTTAAAATTGTTGCTTAACTGGACTTTTATTTATAATAAATTATAATGACCAAATGTGCATGGCATTTGTGCAAAAATATCTTCAGGGCTTTATAAAAGAAATACATGTTGCTGCTGATGCACAAAAGATTATTTGTTTTTTGTTTTTATTAACTGTAACAAAGTGTTTTGAATTATTATGTGATCTTGGTAGGGAGTAACTTTTCAATCAGCGATGCCAATACCCCTTCTATGAGCTCCACATGCTACGTGGAGACTCTAGACTTAAGTAAACATGGTAAAAGGATGTAAAATCTCAAGATAAATACTCAGGGAAAAAATGCTTTTTATATATACATGGTGTTGATGTGTGTTGATTTGTTTATAGAATGATTTTTTGTATTTTATATTGCTGCTAGGACGTTTGGTTACCAAGAGTTATGAGAGTATCATCTTCCTCATAGTCAACATTCCTGGTCTGCCATGAAATATTATTCATACTGTCATTTTCTGTACCAAGTCAGGAATATGACAGTTGTTTTCCATTCGTTTGAGGTGTTTGATCTTTTGATTTTGCCATTTGATAAGGGACTTCCCATTTTGAAATTACCTTGGAGTTGGGTATTTTTGTTATATTCCTTTTTTCTTCAAATTTATTTTTCATAAAATGTTAAAATCAGTCGCAATACTAAAGAAGAAAAAAATCATGGCATAATGGCCTTAGTAACATTTGGCACAATTTTTTTTTCTGGTTTTTGGCGTACTTTATTTGGCCCTTCTGCTTATTTGATTTTAATGCCAAAGATGAGTATTATATAGACAAACATGTGTCTGGCATTATAGATTATAAGGCTAGCATCATTGATGATATACATTTGGATTTACCTAATAAATGGACAACAGATAATAGCAAGTGCAAAATTTCTCTCCAGTGTTTAATATTAGTACTAATATTTTTGTTGTTAAATTTAATTTTTTACATTAATAACTAAATGATTCTTCACCAATTTCATCACTTTTGCTTAATAACATGTTACCAACAATGTTGACATGTGTTCAAGTAGAGAAGGTTAACAAGGTTTATTGTTAAGACCAATATTTAGGCATGAACTATTTTAAGAGGCTTGGGAAGTTTTGTTTGTTTTTGAATAATTGACTTGTAATTGATTTTATATATATTTGAATATTTAGAAAAAAGGGCAATTTTGTACTAAATATATTTGTGTGGTATTTATGTTTTATCAGCAATTTGTACATTTTCCCTTTGATCTTACTGCCTAATATTTTCAAGATCATGGACAGGACTTGATACACGAAAATATAAGGCAATGACGTCATGTATAAGTGCAGCGACGTCGCGTGCTCAAATCCATCCGCGTCAATTTATCAATGAAATGCACGCGACGTCATTCATACAACCAAACAACTATCCCAACGTTTTGTACGCGTAAAAGTAGTTTTACTAGCTATTTCATTCTACTTCATATTCTCAACAAAAAAAAACCTACAGTTATGACAAATTGCCGATAAAAAGAATAATGGCATTTTATTTTTTGATACTGACTTCATCAGCTCGAATATCAGCTCGCCCTAGCGGGCTCGCTTGATATTCTTGCTGATAAAGTCAGTATCAAAAACAAAAATGCCATTATTCTATATTTATACATCTTTTATATTAACCATGTTAATAGTATGCTAATCATTGTCCAAATGTTAGAATGAGATTATGTTATATTTGTCAATGTATGATACTGCACAGTGTGATTAATGCATGTTGCTACTCATTTTTGTATGAGATTTTTTTTCTTTTTTTAAATGGTTAGATAAATATATATATATATATATATTGATTTGTTATTTATATAATTTGAAATATGAATTTAAATGTGGTCTTGTAAATAGGTTTTATTGGTTTTTCTCTGCGAAGGGTTTTGAATTCCATTACAATTTTTGTATTTTTACACTTTCATATGATTTATTTTTTTTTATAAATATATAATTTCAAATACACTTGTATTTTGGAACTTGTAAAGTCACCATTGTTTGAGCTTTTTTTTTATTATTCATGTGAATTGACATTCAACATCTGTGGATACCTTATAGAAGATTAAAAATAATTAATGATCTCATTTTATTATGTTTATAAAAGTCTTTATTTTTTTATAAATTGTTTTTTTTGGTTTTAAGGGCCATTCCAAGTTTGATCAGAAAGTAAATTATACATACACAATGTAGTTAAGCAACATTTGGAGGAGGTATCTCCCTCATGCATGGCCTTGATTTCTTGTCGAGGTTTGGCTTCACTTTTGGCCCCTTTTTGGTTTGATCAGCTCTTCAAAGTTTGTACTACAATGTATTAGGGTTTGGGCTTTCAAATATTTTGCACTCGTGCATCACTGCAGTCAAATTGATTTTTTTTTGTAAAGTTTGCATGTCCATCAGACAGGGTTCACCTGACCTCGACCTTATTTCATGGATCAGTAATCAAGGTTAAAGTTACGTGATTGGGTCCGTTTCTCAAATACCATAAGCAGTAGGTTAAATATATGGGGTGTATGGAATGATTGTAACGGGTACATGTCAGTCTGGCAGGTTTCATCTGACCTTGCCATCATTTTTATGGTTCATTGGTCAATGTTATGATTTGTGTTTTGGTCTATTTTTCAAGTTCTTATATCAATAGGTCAACTATATTTGTTGTATGAATGATTGTAAGGTGAACATGTCTGTCTTGTAGGTATCATCTGACATTGACCTCATTTTCCTTGTTCATTGATCAATGTTTTTAAGTTTTTGTGTTTTTGTCTGTTTTTCAATTACAATAAGCAAGAGGTCAACAATTTTTGGTGTATAACAAATTTGTAAGGTGTAATTGTCTATCTGACAGGATTTATCTGACCTTTACCTCATGTCATAGATCTTTAAAAATGTTATGTTTATGTGATACTTTTTGCAAAGCCTTCATCTTTAAGACTTTCAGCATAAAATCAATAGTCATTAAAGCAGGCGAGACGTTTCATCTGTGCACTCTTGTTTTATATTACATTTAAATTTGAAAAATGGGTAATGATTAATAAGCTATTGAATGATTAGAACCTGTTTTGGCAGGGCAATTTTGAATATATATATATGGTCTTTCCCCTTTTCAATTCATTTGATAACACCATTCTAAAAGCAAGGTGTTAAAAACCATAGACAAAAACACTATTAGAATTATCCTAAAACATCAAAACAATTTAAAAATAAACCGGTTTTAAATTTTCCATTATTGCTAAAACATTATTGAATGACTGTCTGTTCAACAGTACAATATGACAAGGGCCTTTAGTTAATATACATGATTCATGTTTAATACTGGCACCTTTTCTGCACGTCATGAAGTTATTTTTTTAAGGATAATGGTCAATTTGATATATCCAGTATTTTTTATTAAGCACATTAGGCTTTAGAACTATAATATTACTGGATTGAACAATGTATCTATCATATCCATTGTCTTGATTTGCATAATAATACTGGAAAAACATTTTATATATACATATATCAAGTAGTTTTATTTGTTGATATTCTTTTATATTTGATATAATAATGCATAGTCAGATATATTACATGTTAGTTTTATTTTCTATTATTGTTTTTATTCAAACACATCTAGTTGTTCTTTTGATAAAGTCTTATGTTTTAAATGCCATTGAAAAAACTTGTTTGTTCAGGAAATTTGCTTTGTTTTATTCTAGTGCCGTTTATGTTTTTATTGCATAAATATACCATGTTTAGTAGAGTCTCATTTGTATTGCTATTGAATTTTATTTTTAGGATTGTTACATTTTTCTTACACTGTAAATTCAGAAATTATTGCAAGGTCTATTTTAGTGTGAATAATGCGACAGGGTGAGTATCGCAATAATTCAAACTCACTCTCTGATATCTGATTCATATATCTATATGCATATTTTCCGTAAATCGCAATAATTAATCTCACATTTTTGTCCATTTTTAAAAAAAATCACATTAATCAATGCACACAATAATTTCTGTATGAATAGTTGTTTTCTGATACATTTATTGATTCAATTGACCTGATATTTTTATGATATTAGTTATCTACAGAATAGATTATGGATAGGACAGTAAACTCGTGTCAGATCTTTACCAAGCTGTACCGTATTAACCACCTGATGCATTGTACAATCAACTTTTATTCTTATACATTCCAAGTTGCGTTGAATAATGGTTGTGATGATATATAATCTACTGAAATATTTTTGTATTTAAATTGTTGATGCTCAATATTTTTTACATGTAAATTGGCAATATCTTTGTCTCTATGTTGAATTTCTGTTTTGCCTTATGAATAAAGAGATACCATTATTATTTATTATGAGTAAAAGGACGTTAATATGTGGTATAATAATCAATGTAACATATATTCATGTTCGTAAGACTGTTTACACGACCTTGACCTCATTTCTTGGATCAATGATTAACATTGAGTTTTTATGATTAGGTCACTTTTGCAGATTCTGTAGAAATTATTTGTGTGTGGAATGATTGTAAAATGATTGTAAGGTGTTACAGTACTCAAAAGGCATGGTTCATCTAACCTTTAATTCATTTTCATGGTTAATTGGTCCATGTTTAGTTTTCTTCATGTCAGTTTCTCATTTTAAGATACCATCCGAAAAATTTAATTATTTGACTCTCAAGATTTTCTTGTGCTAATTAAATACCATCACTACAAATAAGTTTTCTTTCAACAACACTAATATCTAATATATAATACTATTAATTATAATTTTAACCTTATTTTACATTATTTCCAAAGCATCAGTAAATACAGGTGAGCGACACAGGCCCTTGAGAGCCTCTAGTTTTACATACTTATATTTACTGACTCCAGCAGGGAACTAATAAAAAAGAATATCAAACTATTTTAGTATTTTAATGGCCACACAGACAAACGGTACAAAGGGATGTAAACAATAAAATCAGTTGAAAAACATGTCAGTAGACTAAAGAAAAACGAAGAAAGACAAACAAAAGATCACAAAACACCATACAGTAAGGCCATTGAAAATTGAATGTTGGTTTCCCTAACATAATTTTTTTTTAAAGAGTTAACAGGCATGCAAAACTTTTTATTTGATTTAATATTTTTGCGAAAAATCAAACGAGGCACATATGCATGCAGTTTGGCTAAACAGAGATTTTTTTCTTGTACAGCTGACAGGAAATTCTTGATAAAAAAAGTTTGTTTGACATTATATCTTGTATCTTGATCTATATTGTGAAAAAAAACTATTTTAACTTTAAGAATGATAAATGAAACATTTTTGTCTCGCCTTGACGGAGTCAAAAAGCAAGACGTCGGCGGCGGCGTCAACAATGTATTAGTTTGTGATTAGGGCTAGTTTATGGTGAACCACAAGTGGTAGGTCAATGATATTTGGTGTGCAGTTGTATTAGCGTTGGCACATCTCATTGACATGGAGATTATTTGGCCATGCCCCCTCAGTCATGGTCTATTGACTTTGAAACTTTTGCTTAGTTTACATGTATTAGTTTGTGAGTAGGTCAGTTTATGGAGAACCACTAGTGGTATGTCAATGATATTTGGTATGCAGTTGTATAAGCATTGGCATATCTCATTTTCATAGAGAATATTTGGCTCTGCTCCCTTAGTCATGGTCTATTGACCCTGAAACTTCTGCTTAGTTTACATGTATTAGTTTGTGATTAGGTCAGTTCAAAGGGAACCATTAGTAGTAGGCCAATGTTAATTGGTATGCAGTTGTATTAGCATTAGCACATCTCATTTCCATGGAAAATATTTGGCCCCGCCCCCTCAGTCATAGTCTATTGACTTTGAAACTTTTGCTTAGTTTACATGTATTAGTTTGTGATTAAATCAGTTTAAGATAAACTGCTAATGTTAAGTCAAGGATATTTGGTATGCAAATTGATTGGCATTTGCAAGTATCGTTTCCATGGAGATTATATAGCCCCACCCCCTCATCATGGTTTATTGACTTTGAAACTTTTACATAGTTACAAGTTAATGTTTTTGTTTAGGTTTGTTTAAAGGGACCGACTTATAATAAATCAATTGTATTTGTTATGCAGTGTTAAAGTATTGCTATTTTAATTTCAACATTTGTATTATCAAAATTACAAAAAGGCGAGACATAAATTTGTGATAACAGTTTATTAAGAAATTATCAGACAATTGAAGCATCATTGAAAAATTTTGCGGTCGTATATGAGTATGACGTTGGCGTCGTCGTCATCGTCCGAAGACACATTGGTTTTCGCACAATAACTTTAGTTTAAGTGAATGGATCTCTATGAAATTTTACCATAAGGTTCAATACCACAAAAGGAAGGTTGGGATTGATTTTGTTAAGGAATTAGGGGCCAAAAATAAGCATTTTTGTAACTTCCAGACAATAACTTGTGTTTAAGTGTATGGATCTCTCTGAAATTATACCACAAGTTTCCCACAAAGGGATGGTTAGGATTGGCTTTGGGGGTTATGGCTCAAACCGTTTAGGAATTAGGAACAAAAAAGGGGAAAAAACTAGGGTTTCCTGGTTAATGGACAATTTAAAAGCAGTGTAAGGGAGGTAATCCAAAAACAAAATTAAACAATGTTGGATTACCTCCCTTACACTGCTTTTAAATTATCTATTTAAGACCTTTATGTTGTAATTAAATTGGTAATCATGGTTGCAAACTCCATTGGAAATTTGAATTGAGATTATGACCATATCTTGAGGGAAAGATTTTTTTTTTTTTGGAAAAGGGAGGGGGAGGGGGTAAAAAAGAAATTGTGGGGGGGGGGGGCAATTTTTTTTTTTCATTTCAGAGAAAATTTCTTCAAATACGCAACAGCATAGTGTATTTCACAAAAAAAAAAGGGGGGGTAATTTATTTTTTTTTGTATGGGGGAGGGGGGTCAATTCGCAACAGCATAGTGAATTGCACAAAAGCAAAAAAAAAATGAATATAGTTTCAAATCATATAACCAATTCTAAGTTCTTTGACTACAGTTATTCGGTGTCAGAAACCTATTATGTGTCAAATGTTTAATTACAATCCAAATTCAGACCTGTATCAAGCGCGAATGTTGTGTCTATTTTCGCCCCAACTGTTCAAGGTTGGGCCTCTGCGGTCGTATCCAGCTGCGCTCAGCGAAGCATTTTAAATTTACATCTGTTCAAAAAAAGAATTGATCCAGAGGGTAAAACATACCCGCAAGGGTAAGAATAAGCCAACAATCATTTTTGTATAGCCTAAATCAAAAGTTCAAAAACAAGAGCTAGAGCTGACCTTAGGTACTACGATAAGTAAGCTCCTCCACTGGTGACACCCATCGAGTTGTTCATGGCAAGTTAAAATTTGATAATCAGTCCCGATTTAAAGGAAACAGCTTCCACTTCGCTTCAATGGTGTCACTATTATTATTTTTTTTTTACTCTAATGAAATTGGTGGACACCCATCGAGTTGTTCATAGCAAGTTAAAATTTGATGATCAGTTGCATTTGGTGAAGTCCCAATGTAAAGGAAACAGCTTCCACTTCGCTTCAATGGTGTCTCTATTATTATTTTTGTGTTTACTCTAATGAAATTGGTGGACTAATTTTCATCTGTCTTTTAATATTTGATGAAGTCTGCCTTCCTAAGTGTTAATGTCAGTACGAATTTCTAATTGCTCAAGACCAGGAAAAGGGAAATTAAAAAGAAATAAAAGAACCGAGTTCCAATACCCCCCGAGTTGCACCTATTTTATATTTCCAAGATGGCATAAATCTTTTAAAAAAAGTCGATCGTCCACCATTATAGAACTTGTCCGAGATATTAACTTCTAGTATAAGTTTTATAAAACTCTGACAAGAATATATAGTACCAGTGAGAGCGCGAACGAGGCCATTTTCAATCAATTTAATATTTCCCAGGGGTATAACTCTTTTAAAAAAGTCGATCGTCCACCATTTTCGAACTTGTCCGAGATATTGCTGATATTAACTTATAGTATAAGTTTTATAAAAATCTGGCAAGAATTGTACCCGTGAGATGGCTAACGAGGCCATTTTCCATAAATTTAATATTTCCAAGGGGCATAACTCCTTAAAAAAAGTCGATCGTCCACCATTTTAGAACTTGTCTGAGATATTGCTGATATTAACCTATTATAGTATAAGTTTTTTTTAAATCTAGCAAGAACTGTACCCGTGAGAGCGCTAACAAGACCGGACGGACACATGGACGGACGGACGGACGCCCAGTATTTCCATGTCCACCGCAACGCGTTACGCGGGAGACAACAAATTAAATAATACTTAGTACACAGTAGTAGAATAACATTGGAGAACTTGCCGAGGCGGACTTATTGGACCTTTGTTAGGGACAGGTTCAACAAAGTGTTTATCATCCGAAGTAACAGAACTAGCATCATTCATGTTTGAATATCATTTACAATTTTATTATTATCTTTTCGAGTAGGCAAACAGCCATGAAAAAACGATAAAATATAATATCGATTTTACTATCACGTGACTCATGATTTGGAATTGAGTTTGGGAACAAACATACATCTATTCTACAACAATTCCACAAGGATCCCAACTCAGCTTTCCAAGTCAAGGCATTCTGTATAACTATATGTTTCGTTATCAATAAATTATTTCAAAATAGCGTATGCGTATCGACTAATCAATACATGCATGCTATCTAGATTTTCGTATAAATGTCCAAGGTTTTTGCCTTGCACTTAGTCTCATTTTCAAAATGAGTAACTTCTTACGTTTTAATGTGAAGTTTCTCAGTCAATGAAATTCGCCTCGGTATCTTGTGAGTTTTACTACCAGTGGGTTGTGGACTAAAAATCTTGAAAGTGTATAAAGTTTGTTAGCTAGTGCTTTAACGCTGCCAACCCAAGGATGTGTAAATCCCTGTAGCCAGTATTTTACTGTCATATTTATCTTAAAATCGATTTTTCTAAAATGTTCATACAATTTAAAACGCGAACTATTTGAACAAATATGCAATCTTTTTGTAAGAACGTTTTTGATTTGTTGATCTTCAAAGTGATGACTCCAAAGGTTGACTGGGCTATAGAAATGTTGTCATCTGGTGTTTTCCAATCCAGCAGTAATCCTGGATAAAAAGGTACTTTCATTTGGCTGGACAGGACATTATAAGTTATCTACGTTCATATCCGTAGATATGGATATTTTAACACCCTGAGGCGCAGCCGAAGGGTGTACAGGGTACTGAAGGGTGTTAACATATCCATATCTACGGATATGAACGTAGATAACGAATTTATCCCCGGTCTTAGTCTAAATCTTGCGATTTTTAGAGAAATTCGACCACAAAGTTTAACGTGAAAGCAACGTTTTTTTTTCATTTTTTAAATATCTTTTATCGAAATTCGAGAATTTGACATATTTTTAATGGGGTGTAGGGTGTACCTTTGTACATTGTAATATTTTTAACATAAGGACAACATTTTCTGAGTTCTTTATTGTTGATATTATCTTCTCTTGAGATAAATATTAAGTGGTAAACGTTGTACATACTAATATATGGATACTATATTGCTTGAACAACAATATGTATGCCGAAGTGTAAAACTATCCATTAACCAAAACCATTCATACTTACTCTTTCAACAAAACATACTCTTTTTCGTTAGTGAATATCAAGGTTTAATCAATTGAAGCCTTGGCCAGCTGCAGATCTGTTAATCATTACGGTTGTGATCGACTACATAGTACAGAAAGCAATTAAGTTCGTCAAATTCTAAGAAGATTTAATATTTTCTTGCATTTTCCTTTGATATGCCATTAATATTGAGTTAATAAATACTAACTCCCCGCCTCCTTCGGATTTTATTATTACGCTTTGACAAATAATTCACGTGTTTACTAAATCTTGTTTATGAACAAAATATCTATATTACATATAACATCAATGCTTTTTCCAACGAGCTGTCTTTTCAACATAGTTTGGCTTCCAAAGGGCCTACCATTTTTGCCGGTGCTGTTACGCATTTATCGGACGGGAAGTTAACACGCATATATCTGTATAGAGATATGGTTTATTCAGCATATATTTCTATTATTGTAAGTAATATATCGTTTCTTTAATGGTAAGCTTACACTTAAATATACATATTAACAAAGCGACAAAGGACCTCAACAAGAATCTGATGTTCAGTAGTTGTCGTTTGTTGATGTGGTTCATAAGTGTTTCTCGTTTCTCGTTTTTTATATAAATTAGACCGTTGGTTTTCCAGTTTGAATGGTTTTACACTAGTAATTTTTGGGGCCCTTTATAGCTTGCTGTTCGGTGTGAGCCAAGGCTCCGTGTTGAAGACCGTACTTTGACCTATAATGGTTTACTTTTATAAATTTTGACTTGGATGGAGAGTTGTCTCATTAGCACTCATACCACATCTTCTTATATCTATACACGATGACATTTTTATTTAATAGGCAAGTCATGCATGTGGTAATCAAGCTTTTTTTATTCATTTCCTCGGAATTTGCTTTTAAAACTATAGTGGCGGATCCAGGGGGGGGGGGACCCCCCCCCTTTTTTTTTAGACGATCAATGCATTTGAATGGGGACATATAGTTGGAACCCCCCCCCCCCCTTTATCCTGGGTTTGGAACCCAACCCCCCTTATATAAATGGCTGGATCCGCCCCTGAACTAGCCTTTTCATTATCCGTAATGAAACTAGTAGATCAATTTGAGGTACTAGTATTCATATGTATATATATATTCAAGTTAACGCTTCTTTTTCAAACTGAACATTTTACTTAGCAATATTAAGGAACCCGTCGACATAATGTCATCTTGTTTTTGTTAGATATTAGCAATCACGGTGATGCATGTCTAGTGAATATTTTATTTGTTTTGCTTCGACAATCTCGGAAGTAAAGTTAATATGTATACAATGATGTTTCCCTCCCTTGTAATTTGGTTAAGCCATGATACAAGGTTCGATTCACAGTATCCATTTTTATATCGGAATATCACCACAAATACATTACGGGGGAATACTTTCCGGAAACTCCACCAGTAACAGATTGTTGACATCATGAAACAAATTGCTAACGCTATAAAATATTATTGCGTTACAATTTTTAGCAAAAAACAAGTAACTTTTATGAAAAGTTATGGAAGGGGAAAAGGGTTGCTGGTAATTTTATCTTTATTAATAAAACTCAATTCAATATAAAGACAGGCGTACCACGTTTTTTCTAATTGAATAAGATATGTATTAGGAGGTATAACTAAAAACCACAATATCACATAAGGTTATCACGTTTTTTCGAGCTAGCGAACAATTATGAGAATACATACAATCTTAAACAAAAACGAAAAAACTAACTTAAAACAAAAGGGAAACCATACTTAATATATAAAGAATACAAAGCTTTTCTTTCCTAACTAAATAAATCCACATAAGGCATTCAATAGACAGCTGGATTACAATGACCATAAGTTAACACAATGACACAATGCATTTTTAGGGAATGGGGGTGCACTTTACGTTGTTTGGTCCGATTAATAGAGATTGTGACAGGTTAGGCTATATAGGTGTTTGAGAGGAGATAGTGCCGCATAGTTTAGGAAAATCTCCAGAGTGGTTTATGTTCGAAAATCTTAAATTGTGGTAGAAAAAAACTGAAATTAACAAAATGAAATTTGGGTATAGGACATTTTAAGTTAATTTTTGACCAACTTGAATAGATTGTTACAGGCAACGACTATATAGGTGTTTTAGAGGAGACATTTCTGCATCGCTTAGGAAAATCTCCAGAGAGGTTTATGTTCGAAAATCTGAAGTTACGGTAAAAAAACTGAAATTGACAAAATAAGATTAGGGGGGTAGGGCACTAAAAGTTAATGTTGAACCAATTTATAGAGATTGTAACGGGCAACGACTATTTAGTTGTTGTAGAGGAGACATTGGCGCATCGTGTAGAAAAAAAAATCTAGATCACTTTATGTTCGAAAATCGGAAGTTAGGGTTAAAAAACTGAAACTTTCAAAATGAGATTGTGGGGTTGGGCACTCAAAGTTAATTTTGGACCAATTTATAGAGATTGTGACGGGCAATGACTATAAAGGCGTTGTAGAGGAGACATTGGCGCATCGCTTAAGAAAATCTCAAGATTGGTTTATGTTCGAAAATCTGAACTTACGGTTAAAAAACTGAAATTGTGAAATTGAATAAATGAGATTAGGGAGTAGGCCAATTTAAGTTAATTTTGGACCAATTTGAAGAGATTGTGACGGGCAACGACTATATAGGTGTTGTAGAAGAGACAATGGCGCGTCGTTTAAGAAAATCTCCAGAGTGGTTTATGTTCGAAAATCTGAAGTTACAGTTAAAAAACTGAAAATTTTATTGTGAAATTGACAAAATGAGATTAGGGGGGTAGGGCACTAAAAGAAAAATTTTGACCATTTTAAAGTGACTGTGACGGACAACGACTATATAGGTGTTGTAGAGGATTTGTGCATCGTTTAAGAAAATCTCCAGAGTGGTTTATGTTCGAAAATCTGAAGTTACGGTTAAAAAACTGAAAATTTTATTGTGAAATTGACAAAATGAGATTAGGGGGGGTAGGGCACTAAAAGAAAAATTTGGACCATTTTCAAGAGATTGTGACGGAGAACGACTATATAGGTGTTGTAGAGGAGACATTGGCGCATCGTTTAAGAAAATCTCCAGAGTGGTTTATGTTCGAAAATCTGAAGTTACGGTTAAAAAACTGAAATTGTGAAATTGACAAAATGAGATAAGGGGGGTAGGCCAATTTAAATTAATTTTGGACCAATTTCAAGAGATTGTGACGGGCAACGACTATATAGGTGTTGTAGAGGAGACAATGGCGCATCGTTTAAGAAAATCTCCAGAGTGGTTTATGTTCGAAAATCTGAAGTTATGATTAAAAAACTGAAACTTTTATTGTGAAATTGACAAAATGAGATTAGGGGGGTAGGGCAATTTAAGTTAATTTTGGACCAATTTCAAGATATTATGACGGGCAACGACTATATAGGTGTTGTAGAGGAAACAATGGCGCATCGTTTAAGAAAATCTCCAGAGTGGTATATGTTCGAAAATCTGAAGTTACGGTTAAAAAACTGAAAATTTTATTGTGAAATTGACAAAATGAGATTAAGGGGGTAGGGCACTAAAAGAAAAATTTGGATCATTTAAAGAGACTGTGACGGAAAACGACTATATAGGTAGTGTAGAGGAGACATTGGCGCATCGTTTAAGAAAATCTCCAGAGTGATTTATGTTCCAAAATCTGAAGTTACGGTTAAAAAACTGAAATTGTGAAATTGACAAAATGAGATAAGGGGGGTAGGCCAATTTAAATTAATTTTGGACCAATTTCAAGAGATTGTGACGGGCAACGACTATATAGGTGTTGTAGAAGAGATAATGGCGCATCGTTAAAGAAAATCTCCAGAGTGGTTTATGTTCGAAAATCTGAAGTTACGGTATAAAAAACTGAAATTGTGAAATTGACAAAATGAGATTAGGGGGTAGGCCAATTTAAGTTAATTTTGGACCTATTTCAAGAGATTGTGACGGGCAACGACTATATAGGTGTTGTAGAGGAGACAATGGCGCATCGTTTAAGAAAATCTCCAGAGTGGTTTATGTTCGAAAATCTGAAGTTACGATTAAAAAACTGAAACTTTGATTGTGAAATAGACAAAATGAGATTAGGGGGGTAGGGCAATTTAAGTTAATTTTGGACCAATTTCAAGAGATTGTGACGGGCAACGACTATATAGGTGTTGTAGAGGAGACAATGGCACATCGTTTAAGAAAATCTCCAGAGTGGTTTATGTTCGAAAATCTGAAGTTACGGTTAAAAAACTGAAATTGTGAAATTGACAAAATGAGATAAGTTGGGTAGGCCAATTTAAATTAATTTTGGACCAATTTCAAGAGATTGTGACGGGCAACGACTATATAAGTGTTGTAAAGGAGACAATGGCGCATCGTTTAAGAAAATCTCCAGAGTGGTTTATGTTCGAAAATCTGAAGTTACGATTAAAAAACTGAAACTTTGATTGTGAAATTGACAAAATGAGATTAGGGGGTAGGGCAATTTAAGTTAATTTTGGACCAATTTTAAGAGATTGTGACGGGCAACGACTATATAGGTGTTGTAGAGGAGACAATGGCACATCGTTTAAGAAAATCTCCAGAGTGGTTTATGTTCGAAAATCTGAAGTTACGATTAAAAAACTGAAACTTTTATTGTGAAATTGACAAAATGAGATTAGGGGGGTAGGGCAATTTAAGTTAATTTTGGACCAATTTCAAGAGATTGTGACGGGCAACGACTATATAAGTGTTGTAGAGGAAACAATGGCGCATCGTTTAAGAAAATCTCCAGAGTGGTTTATGTTCGAAAATCTGAAGTTACGGTATAAAAAACTGAAATTTTGAAATTGACAAAATGAGATTAGGGGGTAGGCCGATTTAAGTTAATTTTGGACCTATTTCAAGAGATTGTGACGGGCAACGACTATATAGGTGTTGTAGAGGAAACAATGGCGCATCGTTTAAGAAAATATCCAGAGTGGTTTATGTTCGAAAATCTGAAGTTACGATTAAAAAACTGAAACTTTGATTGTGAAATTGACAAAATGAGATTAGGGGGGTAGGGCAATTTAAGTTAATTTTGGACCAATTTCAAGAGATTGTGACGGGCAACGACTATATATGTGTTGTAGAGGAAACAATGGCGCATCGTTTTTAGAAAATCTCCAGAGTGGTATATGTTCGAAAATCTGAAGTTACGGTTAAAAAACTGAAAATTTTATTATGAAACTGACAAAACGAGATTAAGGGGGTAAGGCACTAAAAGAAAAATTTGGATCATTTAAAGAGACTATTACGGAGAACGACTATATAGGTGTTGTAGAGGAGACATTGGCGCATCGTTTAAGAAAATCTCCAGAGTGATTTATGTTCGAAAATCTGAAGTTACGGTTAAAAAACTGAAATTGTGAAATTGACAAAATGAGATAAGGGGGGTAGGCCAATTTAAATTAATTTTGGACCAATTTCAAGA